ACACAAAGTTTATATAAAATCTCATTAACAGTAGTAGATTTACCTTTATACTCTAAACTATTTTTCTAAAAAAAAACAAGTTACAAGTAAAAAATGATGAATTTAAAATTAAATTTAACACAAAGTAGATCTGAATAAATTTACTTTGAATACGAATAAAAAACAAGTAAATAATATTTTTTTTTGATATAATTCAAGTTTTCCATTTGTTTTGGACGAAGGACCAAGTGATTGGAAGAAGTTGTTGGAGTTTCAAAGTTTGACGTTTATTAACACATCAACACTCTTACACTGTACTTAGACTTATACTCAACTAATACTATCTTAATTCTGTCTCTAAAACTACTACTTAACTAATAAACTAATACTGATGTTCTCCACGCTTAACTCATCCGAGCTAAGCTTCTTCGACGACTTCATGGTGTCCATCAGCGTTTTCCAAACTGTGAGGCGCTAAAGTTTTATCTATTTTATGAATTGGCGCCTCCCCTGCCAAATGATTAAATATTTTTAAGGGAGGCGTATTAACATCAAGTTTAGAAAATCAAAGAAAAATTTAAAATAGTATTAACCCTTTGGTTATATTGAAGATTTTAGACTTTAACTTTAAATCAATTTAAAAATTTGTCTAATTTGTAATTATAAAAAAGTATATGAAAAGTTAACCCCAATCATTACTATAAATAAACCTTCAATTTAATTGTTAATACCAATTTAAAACTCTAATTTTAATGTAAGATAAATTGAAGATTTTCAACTTTTATTTCTGATCAACGTGAACAATTTTCTAATTTGTAATTATAAAAAAATGTATGAAAAGTTAACTCCAATAATTACTATAAATAAACCTTCAATTCAATTGCTAATACCAATTTCAAACAGTAATTTTAACCAAAAAAAAAAAATAAGATTTTCGACTTTTACTTTTCATCAACCTGAAAATTTGTCTAAATTTTAACTATAAAAAAGTGTATGAAAAGTTAACTCCAATCATTACTAAATATATTTAGTGGTTTTACTTTGAATTCTATTAAAAATATTTAACAAATTATTAAAAAAAATAAGTAAAAAATCATTATTTATTAAATTTAAATCAAGTTTTCAACTCTATAATAATTACAACACAAAGTTTATATAAAATCTCATTAACAGTAGTAGATTTACTTTTATACTCTAAACTATTTTACTAATTAATTAATTTCTAAAAAAAAAAACAAGTTACAAGTAAAAAAATGAAGAATTTCAAATTAAATTTAACACAAAGTAAATCTGAATAAATTCATTCATTTTGAATTTGAATAAAGAAAAGCAAGTAAATAATCTTTTTTTGATATAATTCAAGTTTTCCATTTGTTTTGGACGAAGGACCAAGTGATTGGAAGAAGTTGTTGAAGATTCAAAGTTTGGCGTTTATTAACTACATCAACACTCTTACACTGTACTTAGACTTATACTCAACTAATACTATCTTAATTCTGTCTCTAAAACTACTGCTTAACTAAGAAACTAATACTGATGTTCTCCACGCTTAACTCATCCGAGCTTAGCTTCTTCGACGACTTCATGGTGTCCATCAGCGTTTTCCAAACTGTGAGGCGCGAATATTAGTCACAGTGAACAATTTTCCAAATGACTGCTAAAGTTTTATCTATTTTATGAATTGGCGCCTCTCCTGCCAAATGATTAAATATTTTTAAGGGAGGCGTATTAACATCAAGTTTGGAAACCACTTACGTTCAATCACCATTCTATAATAATAATTACAGCACAAAGTTTATATAAAAACTCATTAACAATAATAAATTTAACTTAAAATTTTAAACTATTTGACTAATGAATTAATTTCTAATAAAACAAATTAGAATTCATGAAATTGTAATCACAAGACGAAGTAGATCTGAAATAATAGTTCAATTATTATTGGATACACTTATTTACTTTCGGAAACTTACATCCTTGTTGTAGTTGTAATAGCATTTATTGGAAATCAGTGCAGTCTCGCACATGTCTTCTCCCTCTGCAAACGGAAAAAGTAATTAATCCTTCCTTCTCTTCGTTCAACCACTGACAAATTACTCACTGTACTCCTTACAAATATCGTACATGGCTTTGTACGCGGGCTTAAGATCATCCGAGAATCCGAGCAGCAGCCTGTCGTAATCGATGTATCCATCGGGCTTATACTGTATATAAAGGATTTAATTAAACTATCGAACGATCGGTCGCAATTAATTAGCAATTACCACACCGAAGCTGTTCAGGATGCACCCCAAATAACAGGAGACCGATTTTTCCGCGGAAAATTCACCATCCATCATCCTGTCCACGACGGCTGAAAATCCCCAAGAGATGAACAACAAACTTTGAATATCTCATAGTCAATATTGTTATAAAGTCAATTTGATGATCGAACTTTCTAAATTTTAATTAATTTTTCAAAAGTTAACTCTAATCATTAGAATCAATAAATATTTTTAATACTAATTATTTTAATCCAAGAAAAAATGAAGATTTAAGGTATTTTACTTAATCTGAATAACTTAGTAATAATTAGAGATAATTCTAATAATCAATATCAATTAAAAACTGTAATTTTAATTAAAGAATAATTAAATATTTAAGACTTTTCATTCTAATCAATGTTAAAAACTTTTTAATTCATAACTATCAGTTTTAAAAAAGTTATTTCCAATTATTTTTATCAATAAAGCTTCAATTTAATTGTTCATATCTAATTGAGACACTGTGCTTTCAATCAAAGAAAAATTTAAGATTTCAGACGTTTTTAATCAACCTGAAAAATGTTCTAATTTTTAATTATAAAATTTTATTGAAAAGTTATCTCTATTCATTACTATAAACTTCAATTTAATTGTTAATATTAATATTAAATAATATTAACCCTTTGGTTATATTGAAGATTTTACACTTCAACTTTAAATCAACTTGAAAATTTGTCTAATTTGTAATTATAAAAAAGTGTATGAAAAGTTAACCCCAATCATTACTATAAATAAACCTTCAATTTAATTTTTAATACCAATTTAAAACTCTAATTTTAATGTAAGATAAATTGAAGATTTTTAACTTTGACTTCTGATCAACGTTAACAATTTTCTAATGTGTAATTATAAAAAAAAGTGTTTGAAAAGTTAAGTCCAATAATTACTATAAATAAACCTTTAATTCAATTGTTAATACAAATTTTAAACAGTAACTTTAACCAAAAAAATGAAGATTTTCAACTTTTACTTTTAATCAACATGAAAATTTGTGTAATTTTTAATTATAAATAATTTTTGAAAAGTTAACTTTAATCATTGCTACAAATAAACCTTCAATTTAATTTGTAATACCAATTTAAAACTCTAATTTTAATGTAAGATAAATTGAAGATTTTCAACTTTTACTTCTAATTTTCTTATTTGTAATTATGTATGAAAAGTTATGTAGAAAAGTTAACTTCATTCATTACTATAAATTAACCTTCAATTCAATTGTTAATACCAATTTATAACTGTAATTTTCACCAAAGATAAATTGAAGATTTTCGATGTTTACTTTTAATCAACCTGAAAATTTGTCTAATTTTTAATTATAAATAGTTTTTGAAAAGTTAACTCTATTTATTAATATAAATAAATCTTCAACTGTTAATACCAATTTAAAACAGTAATTTTAACCAAATGAAATTGAAAATTTTCAACTTTTACTTTTGTTCAAGATAAAAAAAATACTAATTTGTAATTATAAAAAAAAAGTGTATGAAAAGTTAACTCCAATCATTACTATAAATAAACTTTTACAATTTAAAACAGTAATTTGTAAAAATTGAAGATTTTCGTCTTTTAGTTTTAATCAACATGAAAATTTGTCTAATTTTTAATTATAAATAGTTTTTGAAAAGTCAACTCAAATCATTGCTATAAATAAACCTTCAATTCAAATATAAATACGAATTTAAATCTATAATTTTAAGAAAAATTGAAGATTTCAGACTTTTACTTCTCAATGTGATCAATGTGAAAAAAAAATCTGATCTAATATATTTTGAGACAATAATTTTAAGATTTATTTATGATCAACATCAAAAACCTTCTAAATTTTTCAATTTAATTTTAATATAGAAAAATTGAAGATTTAAATAGCAATATTTATGATAAAAAAGCTAGTTTATTATGTAATAATGTTTAAAAAAAAATGAAAGACCCAAATCGACTCCTGTTTCTTCTTGGCACTTGCTTCTAATTCCGGACGCGACGTCCATAAAACAATCAGGAATTTTGTTGTACGCCAACTACAACGAAAATTTATAAAAATTACGTAACAATTGTTTAGGCAACGTACGGCGACGCTGTTGATTAGAACGACGGAAATGAGGAGAGATTCGGTCGCCATTTCGGGTATGCCAATTAAGCGTGTAAGCTATGCACACTATTTATATTAACCAGATCCGCGCATCGTCGACCCCGAAAATTAGCAACGGCAAATCACGTCCCGCCCTTGAACAATGGCTTAATTACAGGTAAATTAAATACCTGATGATTATTTCCTTGGTATTGATAGAAGGGGGAAAGGTAAGGAGATAGAGAGAGAGAAGTAGATAGAACATCCATCGTTCGAAGACACGTCAAATGCAAATGAAATTACCTCCAGGTGGAAAACGCGATTGACGTAGGCGCAGGGTGGAGAGCAAACAGGGATAAAGGGCTCATTCAATTTGCAGATATCTTGAGGAGGGATGTAAATAAAAATACTGGAACTCCTTGGGTTCAATTGAATTGCTTCGCACGTGAAGTATCTCAATAAAAAAAATTGTATTGGCTTACAGCCTTCTCCTTTTCTCTTACACTCTATCATACAAATCTCCTTGTGTGTTTATGTATTAAGGAGAGAGACGAGAAACGACACGTCGTCTCGGTCCTTATTTTATTTCACTCAGAAGAGGTTATTTTTAGGAAGGATGGAGAAAAAACGGTCTGAGATTTATGGACGAATCGTTTTATCCCAAAGAAATACGAAGGAATTTCATTGATTTGATTCCCTTTAAATAAATAGATTTAAATTTATCTCATCACGCTATTTTTTTTTACAATACTAGTACAAATATTGTAATTAAAGACAAATGTACAGGGTTTCACTTAATTATGTAGCGTTTACCATTTTCATGTAATAAGCTAACAAAGTTTAAAAAATATTAGTTAACGTTTTATTGTATAACTCGTCAACTAAATAAGCCAACTACACGTATGAATACTTTTAATTAAAGATAAATATGCAAGCTATAATTTGAGTACATTTCAGCTATTATCAACTTTCTTTTAATCCTCAAAATTGAATTTTCTTACAAATATATATTATTATTTTTTTTTAATTAATATCATTTTATTCTTCATGAATTTTACATATTTCATCAATCACATTATTTACATGATGAAATAAAGCTAAAAAATAAACTAAATGTAAATTAAACAGTTACTAGTTTCACTTGTAATTTTCTTACTTCGGGATCGGCGTTATGGTAACACAAATGCGTCATGAATGCAGTCTCGCAACGATCTGCGCCTTCTGTAATTTACAAACGTTTAAAACTCAGTAAATATTTGAAAACTAAATTTATAAGTAAACTTACTTATGTCAAAACAGTTTTCGAAGATATGCTTGTATCTATCTTGTAGATCAGACGGAAAGAAACTCAGGACCGTCGAACTGTCCACAGTGTCATCTTCAGTAAACTAAAATTTTGAAATTAAGACAACAAAATTATAATATGACAACTTGACTCAACATTTGCATCATGTAAATTCGAGATTTTATGTTATAATACAGAGTTGTTATATTACTTAGCAAATTTAGGTGATTCCCAAGTATTATGAAACTGAAAATAGTAATTATGATGTTTGACATATGTAATTAAGAGTAGTTTGGCAATAAATGACATATTAATATACATGACAAAGTCACTTGTGACGTTTGACTTCTGTCAAATAAAGCGTCACTTGTAATGTTTGACATCTGTCAAAAAGAGCGTGACTAGTGTAAATACGAGTAGTTTTTCGTTATGTAATACATAATTGACATATTAGCCACTGCACATGACTCGTGACAAAGTTTTTTTATTTAATATATAGTAGACCTAGTAGATGTAGTAAATATGCGCGACACGTGACAAAGTCATCTCTTGTGACGTTTGACTTCTGTCAAATAAAGCGACACTTGTGATGTTTGACTTCTGTCAAAAAGAGAGTGACTTGTATGACTTGTGTAAATACGAGTAATTTTTCATTATGTAATACATAATTTACATATTAGCCAATGACACGTAACAAAGTTTTTGTTTATACGATACATAGTAGATCCAGTAGATGTAGTAAATATACGCGACACGTGACAAAGTCATCTCTTGTGACGTTTGACTTCTGTCAAATAAAGCGACACTTGTGATGTTTGACTTCTGTCAAAAAGAGAGTGACTTGTATGACTTGTGTAAATACGAGTGGTTTTTCATTATGTAATACATAATTGACATATTAGTCAATGACACGTCACAAAGTTTTTGTTTATTTGACATATAGTAGATATATTAGATGTAGTAAATATACGCGACACGTGACAAAGTCATCTCTTGTGACGTTTGTCTTCTGTCAAATAAAGCGACACTTGTGATGTTTGACTTCTGTCAAAAAGAGCGTGACTTGTGTAAATACGAGTAGTTTTTCATTATGTAATACATAATTGACATATTAGCCAATGACACGTGACAAAGTTATCTCTTTTGACGTTTGACATCTGTCAAACATAGTTGACACCAAATGCGCGAGACTTATCCAAGTATATTGTTTAACTTCCATAAGCTGTCAAATATAGATGTTATATGTAATTTAATCCATACTCGATAAAATGCATTAGCTAAGCTAAATTGGAGATGTCGTCAATAGATGTATTATGTAAGTTAAACTGTGAATAAATCAGTATATTGTTATTGAAGTTTTGCTCACCAAATGGTACGTCTCGAATTGGCATTTGAAGTAGCACTTGAGGGCTCTATCATCGGGGAACTGGCCTTTCATTACGAGATCCAGATTCTCTGCAATTCATTATGAGATGTTTAATGTATTAAAATCGATTCAGTTCGGTTCGTGTCGCCACTGAAAGAAAAAGAAAAGGCTCACCGAGACTGACGCCACTTTCAACCATGCAGACTTTCCTCAATTCCTCAGCCATCTCTTCAAAATGATCCGGAACATCATTACACTTACAAAATAAACAGTTGCATAATTCTTTTCTTTAATTTGTCCCTAATTTTTAACTTACCTTAGATAAAGTGAATAAAGCAACAACGAAAACAACGATATTTTTAGCAAACATTTTTTTTCTGTTCTGAAATATAAATCTAACGGCACCTTTTTATATAACATCACACATATAATAATTAGCAGTTTCAACGCATTGTTTGTTACTTAATAACGCAATTAAAACGATAAATAATTTGTTTGTTTTTTTAACTTTTAATTACTGTTAATTATTCTACATTCGTTTAATATTGTTAAAATCCCTTGAACCTTCCAAATAAATTGACCATTTGTCATTTCAATTAAAAGTGGAAATAAGTCTGTAAAAAAATCAATATTGTACCAAAAAAATGAAATAATTTTATTAAGTCGATTACTCAATAATTAAGTAGCGCTATAGATTTACAAGTACTTATAGTTCTATACTTGACAAATTATACATATACTTCAAATATGTACTTGATAAACTACTTGGCAAACTTTCTCATACTGAATATTCGACTCAATATGTTTAATGGAATTGCTCACGTCCGGGTCTTTATCGAAATAACATTTGTTCACTAGGAAAGCCGTGTCACATCTATCTTTACCATCTGAAAGTTAAATTGAATCACATTTTTTCTTTTCTTTTGATAATAAATTTTATTTTGAATCAAAACCGAATCTTCTGGACTTACGGGTATCTTTGCAGGAAAGTATAGTCTTCTCATAAATGTGCTTAACATCATCCGGAAAGCAGTCGACTGTTTTCTCATAATTGATCCTGTCGTCATCTTCGAACTAAAATTTGAAATTGCTCAATTAATCATCGGTCGTTTACTACTAAATCCTGGAAATCTCTTACAAGATCGTACTTCTCGAAGATACATTTGAAGAAGCAACTGAGGGCTGGATCCTGCGTAACAAAGCCATGACTTATCGTCCCTTCCAGTACATCTGAAAGAATTAATCGAGATTATCCCTCTTAGCGAGGACAGAAAACGCTCGAGGAGAATGAGCAAAAACAGAAGGACCAGGTTTACTACGACTTAATTTCTTAACGAAATAAAAATGCCGCCTTCCCAGACACATAAAATATTATAATTGTTACATGACAACGTTTATTCCTTCTTTTCTAAAGCGTTGACCCTCATCCCATAACGAAACGCTCATACCAATAGAAACACCGGTTTCCTCGATGCAATCAGCCCTATAGTCGGGTTGGACGTGAATGAAGTAATCGGGAACCACATTTTCCCCAGCCTAAAAATGAATTATTTCAATTTGTAAACTGTTTTTCTTTTCATATATTTTACTTCAGATCCTTTAAGGATGCAGAAGACACAGATAGTGGACACGACTCTTTTGATTACGTTTTTCATTGTAAATAATGTTTTGTTTGGTTTAATCAAGTTTTTATAGACGTACAGTGAATTGAAGAAGTCTAGTATTGGTATAATGAATGCCTTGTGTAATTATACCGAAGCTCATAGTTAAAACCGTTTCGTGTCCAATAAATAGTTAATACCTGAGTTTTATAGAGATATCGAAGCAAACAGGATTTAATCGACATGGAAACAAGCTATTATCTCTAATTAGAGGAAGATTAAATTCTATAAAGGTTACATAAAATAAACCTACAACATACAATCTTCAAAATAAATGCAGACATTAATGAAAACGCATTTTTTTTTTTATTTGGGACAAAAAATTAATTATAAAACTTTGACATTGAATTACAAAACTACAAATATATAAATTATTCTACAATAGTCATTAAATTTATCAATTTTTTCTAATGGAGAATGAATATTAAACTTTCCATGTAGTTAAGAAATTCAACACATTTTCAACAAAAAAATATTCAGAAATAATTACAAAATTTACGTTTTAATTCATTATATAAAAAAGTCTAAGCAATTTCTTTGCAGCCTTGATTGAGACTCGAAAACTTGATGAAAAATCGTGCGTTCAATAAGATTAGGAAATTGTATAACCTTATTATTATTTAACTGTAAATTCGAAACCTTCAACGTTTCAATTCGTGAAGGTCACAGTTTTTATTATTTTTAATTTTAATTTTAAACATTCAAAACGAATCGATTTGATTTGTATTTTTTTACATTAATCCATTTTATTACTATTATATTTGTATACAATCAATTTTACTTTACAATTATTTTTTTCAATATTCTTCATCAATTTTAACAGAAAACTAAATTTAGTTATGTGAACAAAATAATCTAAAATCTCTGCAGCGTGTAGAACGTGAAGAATTGAAATGAAAGATTAGAGAAAAAAAAAATGGGAATGCGGGACTTCAGATGCAGTAATTAAAAATGAAATTAATTAATACCGTTGCAATTGCAACGAAGGCCCTGATTATAATCCCGAAAACTTTTACTGTACATTTTTCAACGATTCTCTCCACTTTATTCTCGTCATGTCTCATATTCATATAATCTTTTCCAATTTATATAAAAGTATGCAGGTTTCATATCTTAATCCTGCAGTAATTACAAAAGTATTCATTATTTTGTGAAGAAAGAAAAATGTTTAAATTTGGTCCATTTTCCATTAATTCCAGTAAGTTTAAATATTAATACTTATTAATAAACTTAATTGTTTATATTATTTAAAAAACAACAAAAAAATAATTATAAGAATTAAACATTTTTACCTCATTAGTAAATGTAACAAAGTTTGACTAAAAAGTATATAAGAATCAGTAAAATAATCTTTACTTTTCTACCATTAATTAAATACATATTATAATAAATAAGTACGAGAGGTTTAAAAAAAGTTCGCTAAGTTGGCATTAATTCATTTGTTTCTAAAAAACAAAAGTTGTTTCTCAATTTGTTAAAGTCTAACAATATTTCATGCCAAATTTCAAGAAGATCGGTATGAATGGAAAGGAGAAAATTCAAGATTAGTAATGTAATGGTAGAAATTCCACCACCAACACAGCAAAAAATTGTTTTACCATACACTACGGATTTCGACGTCAACTCAAGCCTATGCAAATTTTCTAGGAATGCTGAAATTCATATGGAGTGAATGCATCATCCCTTATGACGATTTTCAAGTGGTTTCGAAGATTCCAAACCGGGCAGTTTTCTGTTTTCGAGGACGAATCTCGTGATGATCACCCGAAATCTTTCACCGACGACACAAATGTAGCCCTGGTAAAGTCAAACATTGACGAAGATCCAAGAGTGACACAACAAATGGTAGTTGATGAATTGGGCTTGAATGTCATGGCTTTGTGGCAAATATTATATCATCACTTTAGCTGCACGCTCGATCCAAATAAAGACGTTTTGTCGAATATTTCTTGGAAAATTTCTAGCATTTTTAGTAAAATCGTAACAGTTATTACCTGTTACGATTTTACTAAAAATCTATAAGTTTGACCTGGAAACCAAGCAACATTCCATGGTATGAAGCGCAGAAGATGCAATATAAAATTGAAACAATTTTTTTGTGAGTAATATTTTTCACATCGATATAATCCTTAATCTGTAGCGAAATTTTAATGCAAAAATAACATAGTTCCAACCATGGATAAAATAAGAAGCGCATTCTCCTCGCCTATCTCGAATGAACACACTATCGCCTCGTAACATTACCATTAAACCATCCTTGATATTAAAAAAATAATATTATGTAAGTAATCTCCATACTATAAAAATCGTTAATGGATTTAAGATTGTCCAGCAATTTAAAGCTAATCTATTTTCAATTATATTCAATCATTTTGTATTATTATGAATGGATTTATAGAAACGATTTAAGTATTATATAACAAACACAAAATAATTCAATAAAATTATAAAAAAAAGTTTTAAAACTTTAATTTATTGTTTTTTCACTACTAATTTTGTTTATTGTATCTACGTATAAATTTACAAAACTTAAATGATCAACTGTTACGAAACCGATAAAGGCAATTCAAATAGGAAAAGAAGAGAAAAGCAAAGTTTTGTTGCTCCTAAATTAACTGGGGGAAATTTAATTAACTTTGTTGTTCGACATTTGAATTTAATCTCAACTTTCTTCGTATACACACAACGTTATTAGTCTCATTTTCCGGTCGATACATTCGCAGATGTTTCATTCTAACAAGATTATGTACGTTTTCGATTCGACAATTTAATACGTTTTCTTATTACCAATATCCTTTTCGAAGTAAAAGAAACAATTATAAATTGTGTAATTATATTATAAACTAAAAGTTAACTGTACAAGGATTACATTGAAAGAACTGCTGTTGCGTAATAAATATGGTTTCTTGGGTTTGCCATTCGACCGATCCTTTATATGAAACGAGCTTTGTTGGCAAAACGGCTTAGGCCGACTGCTATTAGGAAATACACGACTGCTGAAGAATGGAGATACTGTTGTTGGAAAAGCAAACACTAATTCCAAACAATACTTAAAGGTATTTTTATGTTGCTCGAGTCTGACATACACAATGGATTTCACCGAAAACAGGAAACATTTAGTATATGAAAAAGGACAGTAATTGGAATTGAATATCGTTGATCGATCTTTAGTTTGTTTAATAACTTATCAAGGATTTTCGTAATCTCCATGACTACAATAGCTTTCGATTCGCATTGTACTTGTCAAGTACTTCGCAAATAATGCTCATCCTTCATAATTGACGTTTAAATTAATTATTTAACAGTAACCAGAACAACTGGTTACTGCTGCTAACCACAAATTTAAAAGTTCTTACCGGTTTCTAGTAAATACCATTGTGGAATATATGTTGCCTATGTATCAGAGATAGTGTTTATACTAATGAGATGCCATTAAAGATGTTTCGTCTAGCAGTTGCTACTGATTGATGCTGCACCAGAAAATATAAAACAAGCTAGAAAGTCAAGGGAAACTGCAGGAAACAAATACAAAAAATGTGTGCCACAAGATGTTAGATATGGTAAATCACTTCAAAAGAAGTGCATAGAACTATTTGGAAATGCTTGACTTGTGGCTTGTGTCTTAATAAAGACAGGAACTGTCCTCAAAGGGTTAATTAATTTTCTTTATGTTGTATTCTCTGCATGTTAAACACATAAATACCAACTTTTAAGGAAATGTAAATAAAACTGTCAATTTTCTTACTTATGTTTTCAATAGGCTGTCAATTCTTGTTTTACTGTACTAAATCTCTATGGTAACTGAACGTAGTTGTCGCATGTGCCATGTAACATTTTGTTAATAAGATTCCATAATAGTTGGTACACCTGTAGTATCCAATAGTTACAGTTGATAAGTGCAAAATGAAATATGATTCGTATATGCCAATAAAAATGATAATAAGTATTCTCTTTTGATGCTGTGCATAACATCCCATGGGTCATCAAATAATTTAAAATTCGCGCGTAAAAATGTAGAATATAAGGTTTCCTTGAGCAACTTATTCCAGCACTTTAGTGTTCTCGCAAAAGGCAGGCAAAGTAGCAAATGACGTCTTGATCCTTTCGGATGAAGTCGCCTTTATCCTGGGAGCCTCGAGAAGAAGACTAGCAAAACTAAACTTACTGAGAGAGAGAGAGAGAGAGAAATGTGAAAGATGAAGGAAAAATAAATGCGGATGCCGCGTTTATTCAGCGCAGATAGATTCGAATAGGCGTTTTTCATTTGGATAACGATGGCAGAAGTGCTGCGTCTGTTGGAAACGTGAGAGGGTGGAGATTCCCTCACGCCTCTCGCAAACCACTTCCGCGACGGCCGACAACCCATTATATCTGTCGAATATATATGTGTGTATGTGCATGCAACGTGCACATAGTGCAATCCTTTTTTGCACATTCGAACACAAAACAAACGTTCCTCCATATGAGATGCGAAACTGAATAGGAAGAAAAAACAGTGTGGAGAGAGTCGGAAAAAGGAAAAGCCGCTGGGCTGAAGAAGAAAAACTGCAGACAAACACACATAAACGTATAGAATGTACTGAAAAGGATCACATTTCAGCTTTAATCACCTACACCAGGATTCCTGTTTCATAATTACATCCTTCGTGGATTGGACATAGCTCTGATATTCTGGTGGTCTTTCATCATATTTCACATCTCACATTTACTAAGTTTGATTTAGTAAATTTCTGGTTATAAATCATATTTTGTTGTTGGATTTTTTTTTAGTTTTGTTACTTAACTTACATTTTTGTTTGTTTTACAAATAATTTGTGTTTTTACTCTTTGAGACATGCAGAAAATAAAAATAAGAATTGTTGTTTTCACTTATTTACGCATTTACAGTTGATTCATAGCCAACTGAATGAAAAGCTAAGCAAAAGGTGGGACAGTTTTTAACCCACCTAATCCTAAAGAGTTAATGTGTATTGAGTTGTTTTGTTG